ACCTCGTAAGTAATTATCTATTGCTATTTCTTTTGGTATATTTACATTTTATGTTAATGAAATTTAAGACCATATTGTTTTTTTTAGGGAATTTTCTACATAATTGAGACGCGTATTTTAGAAATGATTTCATTCGGTGAAACTCATTGAAACTCTGATTTTCACCTTTTAGATCATAAACTAATAGCTATAAAAAAAGAGTCTCAAGTGAGAAGGAACAATAACATCTTGAAACAAAGAAAAGCAATTAGTAAGTTTAATTTAATTTTTAAAATAAGTTGGTTGTTTAACAACGTAAAGTTTTTCCATTGCCCCTAATATTTCGGCGTTGTAATTTGCGTCCTTAATCGCAATATGTATTTACCCGAGTTTTTGGCATAGTTTTTAATAGTTTAATAGTTTTTAATAGTTTGCTCTAAAGTACATATGCGTCTGAGCTTAAGGGGCGCCGAGATGAAGAGGGTAAGATACAGTTTGCGCCAAAAGAGTGCCAAAAAAAAATAAGGTACGTAAAAAGATTTTTCACTAATAATATAGGTGAACTAATAACATAGGACAGGAATCTTGAAAGGGCCGCCTTTCAAGATTCCTGTCCTATGCGGTGTGAAGACTTTAGGCAGATCACACCTTATTTATCTGAAGACAATAAGTGAATAATAAAACTTAAACGTTATCATACATCATTGAATTCTCTTTGAGAAAGCGATCTAAATGTTACGCTATATTATTAACCACTACTTGCGTTTAATTAATTAAGTAACTGTTAGCGGCAGAACATTAAGGATAGAAACATTAAACATATCTTTTAAGGTGATACCCCAGAAAATAAAATAAAATCTAATTAGAACTAGACCACACTTTCATTTTTACAATATAAATACATAACTTTTTTTTTTTTTTTTTTATTTGCCAGAATATGTACAAAGTAAATTTACATTGAATATATTACCGGCAGGACTTCTAGAAGATCACAGGATCTTATCATGAAGCCCTTTACAATCTATATAACAACACAATATTCTAATATTCTTCACAGTCTATATAATAAACAAAATAAAGTATGAATCAAAATAAATAAAAAAAAACAACTTAAATACTAAAAATAGATATAAATATTTTGTGTTGAAAAGATAATTTCTTTTACTTTTCGTTCAAAAGAAAAATAAGACCATTTAAAAGAAATCGAAATTAGGTAAAATTATTTTATTCCAAAGAAAAGGACCACGATAAGAAATACAAAACTGGTCAAATTTATTTTGGCAAAATGGCTCTTCGATACTTTTACTGGCACGAAGATTATATTTGTTTTTAGGTTTCAAATTATAAATATTTATAAATACATTAGGTGATATATTTTCTTTACATTTAAACATAAAACATAAAATATTTAAAACATTTAGTTTGTAAATATTTAAAACTTTCATTTCTTTAAGAAGTGTTGTTGAGCTTAAAAAACGATTTGCAAAATTAATTGTGCGAGCTGCGTGTTTCTGATGTCGATAGAGAGATTTAAGTTTGGTTTTGTGAGCGCTTCCCTATATTATATTTGCATAACTTAAATGGCAATGAATAAATGAATAATATAGTCGTGTTAATTGATGTTTATTTAATATATGTCTAACTTTATATAGAACTCCAATGCTTTTAGCAATTTTCATTGAAATATTATCAATTTGTTGCCTCCAAGATAAGTTTTCATCTATTATAACTCCTAAGAATTTTGTATTTTTTTCTCTTTTTATTACTGTACTGTCAATATATAAGTCAGGCAAGATATTTTGAATTTTCTTTTTTTTAGAAATTGGATGAAAAAGTATTCATTTTGTTTTATCGGTATTTAAAGACAACATATTTTTTTTGAACCAACATGAAACATTTTTAAGTTCCTCACTCATATTATTAAAGAGTATTTTACTGTCTTCGTTGGACTGAAATAAACTCGTATCGTAAGCAAAAATTATAGTCGCTAAATTAGAAGCTTTGTAAAGATCATTTATGTATATTAAAAATAAGAGTGGCCCAAGTATGGATCCTTGGAGAACACCACATGTTACATTCGTTTAAAATTGAGGCGAAGATTCTTTGTTATAAACAAATTGTTTACGGTTACTTAGATAACTTTTAAACCAGTTTAGGGTTACATCTCTTATACCATAGCTTTCTAGCTTTTTCAATAAAATATGGTGATTAACAGTGTCAAAAGCTTTTGACAAATCAATAAATATGCCAAGAGTAAATTGAGAATTCTTAAAAGAGTCGGCAATACTGCGCGTTACTTGGTGAATAGCGTGTTTAGTAGAACTTTTTCTTTGAAAATAAAACTGATTTTTATAAAGAAGTTTATTGTCAATAAGTGTACAATTTGTTGTACATTATTTTTTCTAATATTTTTGAAAAGACTGCTAGAACTGAGATAGGACGATAATTTGTAACGTTTGTAGGGTCGCCTGTTTTAGGGATTGGAGTTATTTTTGCTATTTTCAAGCTATCTGGAAAAGATCCTTGAGTAATACTTCTAAAAAGGGTTGAAGTCTAAAGGCTATTAAGAAAATTGCTGTTAAAACTTTTTTTATTTAAACCACTTATTTTGATGCATTACCGAACCTCGCTTATAAACGACAGTTATTAATTATATTTTGTACGCATTTATTTACGTTTGGTGTCAGGTTTGATGCATTACTGACACATGTAGGTGTGTAAAACTTTGCAATCAATTTTTTCCGTAAGTAAATGATCAGAGCTTTTAAAAGAGATTGAAGACTATAAAACTATAAAAGGCAAACTATAAAAGAGCTCTATTCATATGAAAACTGCTGTTAAATCTATTTTTTTATCCAGCTAACAATTGATGCAATATCGAAACTTGCTTATAAACAACGCATGTGCCTCGTTCCAATAAACTTTTCTTTATAGAATAACCTAATTTTCTAAATGAGATCAAAAACTACTTAATAACAAAAATCAAATCCAAGAAACGATTTGCTGAGTGTGTCACTGTTAATAAGCATAAAAAGATTAATGAGTGGTTATTGCAATAACGGCTACTTATGATCTGAGAATTACTGAGTTGAATTTTACCAGCAACTGAAATCTCTGTTACTTTTTTAATTTATCAAGACTCTAATAAGCCCTTATTAAATAGTTTCGACAACAGTTCAGGAAAGCAATTTTTATATTGGGCTCTGAGCGTGTCAAAAAAAAAATAGAAAAGTATTGAAAGTTATTATGAAATCTAAAAAAATATCATTTTAACCATGGAAATGTTCCTTGTTACTTATTCTTTTGGCAACCATGACCAAAAACTGTAGAAGAGATATGGGAAAGTAATTTCGAAACTGAAAATTTGCCTCACGTAGATAAAGTAAATGTTTTTGGTTGCCTGAAAAAAAATTAAGAAATTTAACTATTAGTATATGAAAGTAAAAAAAGAAAACTTTTTAGCAGAGGTAGCAGATTATCATTATGTATGACCATTCAGGTCATACATAATGATAATAAGATTTTGGGGGTGCACATCCTGATTCAAAATGTCCAAGTAACTTTTTATTGAATTAAAAATATAATACCTTTCATATTATAAATATAAATTAGTTTTTTCATTTTCTGAAATTAAAAGTTGAAATTTGGTTACTGTCTGGAAGTCTATACACTTCCAATCGGTATGTAAACATTATTATGTATACCTAGTCAGTAACCTATCTATGTTGTGATTTATGTTATTTTTCTATTATTGATATGTAAAAATTTAATTTATAATTTTTTTTTTAGATGCTGCACACAGTTATTTATCACAGTTAATTTTAGGTTAATAAAAAATGTTTGAATTTCACCCGATTCAATTTATTTGATAATTTAATTGAATCAGAATAATTTATTTAAAAGAAATATATAATTTTATTTTATATTTGTGTTTTACATAAACTTTAGTTGCTTAATCCTATTTTCCCTTTTTAAAGCGTGTTAAGGTTTGCATCGGCTAGCCGAGCATTTGTAGCTTATTTTCATCATAATCATCAGACCTAGCTCGGCTGCCAACATCGGACCGCCATAGTTTTTGTCCATACGGAATCGCATCGGCCGATTATTTGATTGGAATTGCTTTTTTGATGATGATGTTATTTCCCTTTTGAAGTTTGATGATTTATCTCCCTTTTGAAGTTTGATAATGTACCCCTTGTGAAAAAAAAAATAAAAGAAGATCATCAAACTTAAGTTTCTAGAAATAAAATTATTGAAATATAAAATGTTTGTTATACATTTTTCCGAATTTAAAAATTCTATCAAAGTATGACTTACATTCTTGACCTATAGATTGAACCACTATTTCACGTAGATTGTTAAGTTCACAGTCTCAAAGAGAATTTGAACTTTATTAGAGTTCATTGGTTCTTTTACTTAATTATTAGAAAATATATAAAATAAATGAAAAAAAAGTGATATCACTCTTACACATTTCCATTTTGTGAGCTTTAGACTAAAAGTTTAGTCTAAAGTTCACTTTTCCTTTTTGTTTTGAAAAAAACACTTTAGAGAATCTACAGATTAGAAACAGTTGTAGAAATTAAGCTTGTAGTTGAAAAAAACACTTTAGAGAATCTACAGATTAGAAACAGTTGTAAGAATTAAGCTTGTAGTTGAGCAATCCAAACAAAATACCTTTAAAAATATAAAATCTTTATTTTTATTGCCTTGAAAACTTAGGTCATTAATAAAAAAATATACTTTCACTTTCAATTTTATTTGTAGTTAATGTTTTGGAATTGTAAAATAAAAATAAAAAACGTCATAAAATACGCGAAGAAATATAGATGTATATATACATAATTTTTATACACAAATCCGAAGCACCTAATCTTTAAGAAAACATAAATAAATACTTGTTTTAAAAATAAGAAAGGCTAAATTTGCCATTTCCACTTTTTAAAAACACTTTTTTTTCTATAATAATTAACCTAGATGTTTTTAAACACTGAAAACTAAATATTTATGTATAAATGTTAAAAAGTGTTCATATTCCATTAGATTCCTCAACATTTTTTTAATATATACGAAAAGTTCTATAAAAATTGGATGTGTTTTGGTACTTCGGAATCCTTACCTCCAAAAGCTTCGTTTTAAAAAAACGTTCCCGCATCAAGATTATTTCTCAAAAGTGGTCTCAAGATATGAATAACATTTAAGAGAAGCCATATAGCGCATAATACTTTTCATATATGACTGGAAAGAGGTTGAGTAACACTGATTGATGCAAAAAACCTCAGGTTGCTTGCTTTCCTATACAAAAAGATACAAGAGAGCAAACTTCATAATTTCGTGCTTTTCGTCAAACGTCAAATATTTTTCGCTCAGCTGTGGAATCGCTAGCATAAGGTGATATGATATTTAAAATAAGAAATTACAAATTGTGGATGTGATATTCTAGGTATCAAACACTAATCGTTTGAAATATTGTAAAGAATTATTTGGGAGGATGTAGTATTTTAAAAGCATACATTGGGAAGATATTTTTAGTAAGAACTTTAGTTTTTTGTGGTACCTACAGAATTTACAAGTCATAGATATTCTAGATACCAAATACTAATCGTTAAAATTTTGTATGAAATACTTTGGGGGATGTAATATTTAAAGACTTTCCCTGGGGGAAATGTGATGTTATAAGTAAGAGTTTCAGTGTCTTTTTGTGACATAAACAGAGAATAAACAGATACCAAAAACTAATCGTTTAAATATGGTATGTATTTACTAGTGGAATGTAATATTTTAAAAGTATACATTGATGGGATGTGATATTTTAAGAAAGAATTTCAGTTTCTTTTGTGATATATACAGAGACTACACAAGGTGGATGAGATGTTTAAGATACCAAATACTAATAATTTGTAATATTGTTTAAATTACTTAGGGGGATTTAGTATTTTAGAAATATACATAGGGGGAACTAATTATTTTAAATATTGTAAAGAAATACTTAGGGCGATGTAATACTTTAGAAGTTTACATAGGGGGGATGTGTTATTTTAAGTAAGAATTTTAGTTTCTTTTTGTGGTACATACAGAATTTAAATGTGATGGATGTGATATTCTAGATACCAAATACTAATCGTTTGAAATAATGCAAAGCATTACTTAGGGGGATGCATTGTTTTCGAAGTATACATAAGGGGGATGTGATATTTTAAATAAAAATTTAGTTTCTTTTTGTGACATATACAAAGGATAAACAGAGGGAATGTGAAATTCTAGATACCAAATACTAACTGTTTTAAACATGATATGAATTACTTTGGGGATGTAATCTTTTAAAGCATAACCCCGATGTGATATTTTAAGGAAGAACTTCTGTTTCTTTTAGTGATATATACAGAAATAACAATTGGTGGATATTATAACCTTGATGCCAAATAAAAATTGTTTGAAGTATTTTAATAATTACTTTGGTGGATGTAATATTTTAAAAGTTTTCATAGAGGGGATGTGATATTTTAGGTAAGACTTTCAGTTTCTTTTTGTGAAATTTACAAACACTACACAGGGGGATGTTATATTCCAGAAAGCAAATACAGTCATTTTTCATTATAATATAAACTATTTTGGGGAATTTTTTAGAAAATTTTTTAATTTTATCTTTATTACAATAATTAAATGCATTGTTAAAAATTAAAAATAATCTTTTATTACTATTCAACATATATTATTGATGTACACATTGACTTGAATTAAAGGAAGTATGATGCACCACCTCACCCCTCAAAAAATAGTCTTTTATAACTATACAACATAGTTGTATAGTTATAAAAGAAATGTTGTATTACATAAAGCAATATTTTTTTTACAATAGAACATACATTAGTGATGTACAATTTATAGAGAGGGATGGTTTTCCCCCTTCCCCTCAACCAACATAAAAAAAAAATACATAGAAATGACATTTTCAACATTTTCACATGCAATTGTTAAAAAAGAGAAAGCACAATACATAATTGTTTTACCAGATTACAAGTTGCACTAGTATACTTTTTCTCATTTAAATGATCATATTTAACCCACCAACCTAATGAAAAAAAAAAAAAATGTTTTAAAACATAGTAATTACTCTATGTCTTGGCTTTTAGTAAATGATTTTAATTTTAAGATCGAAATGACCTATAAGCTTCATATGTAAGCTCTAAAAACAAATAAAATATTAATGTATTTGTAGTCCATGTTATTAAAAATTATAAAATTTAAAACAAATACTTACTAAGACAGTTTGTCTGAATAAATATAAAGAATAATTAATGAATCAATGAAATTTTTAATAAAAGTTAATCAGAATAAAAACTCAAACATGTATAAGCTTCTGATTCTCCTTTTGTAGCACTTGGAGAGATAACAAAACACAAAAGTATTAAATAGATAATATAAATAGGAATAAGTGGAGCTCAGTAAAAAATCAGAGACATTCTAGATATATAAATTTACCGTTTGAAGGTGGTACAGACGGAACTAAAAGTAAAATTTGTTTTAATAAAAAATACAAATTGCAAATGGTAATAAATGCATCCATTGTCTAAAAAGTAATAATTTTTATATAAAAAAGGTTTTAATTAAAAACCAGTTGATAAGAAATGCAATTGCAAAAAAGAATATGCAATTGATAAGAAATACATACACATGTTAAAAGAACAAAGGTTTTGAAACATACCAGGCGTAGCCACACGTATAAAGAACTAAAGGTAAAAAATATATTATAAAAATCAATATTGTAATCAATGAGAAATTTGTGCACATTAAAAAGAGTTGTTTAACTTACCAGGTGTAGCACAAGAGGTAGATACTAAAATTACAATGTTGTAACAAAAAATCAATATTTTAAATAACTTTTATTAACAATTATAAAATATTAGTGGTTAATAAAGGTATGCTATAATAACTTACCAGCTGTAGTCTGTGCATATTGGAATAAAGATAACAAAAAAATTGTATAATCAAAAAAAAAAAATATCTTGAAATTGTCAACAGCCAATAAAAATAACAGTTATTAAATCAGTTCTGCTTTACGTATAACAACTTTACTAACAAAAAAAATGTATGAAAAAATAATAAAAAAAAAATTATATTACTGTATTTTAAAATTACATTACTGTGTATTAGAAAAACACTAACAAGATATAAGAATAAACTTATTATTGTAAAAGTATCTTTATATTTTTACAAAAATAAGCTTATTATTTAAAAATATTATCTGATACTATTAGTTAATAAAATATTCCAAAGTAACAGTTTAATCTTAAATCCTAATCTTTTTTAATATACCATCATTGGTATATATTACCATCATTGGTAATTATAGTTTATAAAATTTTAATCTTTGTTTACATGCCATGTAAACAAAGATTAAGGTTTTTAAACTTATCATTGTTTTGTTTTTTAAAAAAGTTATTATTATCATGAAAAACATATTAACTTACTTTTTGAAGTTTTCTTTTCCATAACTTTACCATTTTTATTTGAATTTAAATCTAATATTAAGAATTAAAATAATACAATGTAGTATAATTTTTTTGTTTACAATCCGCTTCCCTCCTATCCTCCCCTATATTTCTCTTACTGATAAAACAACAAAAAAAAAAACTGAGCTTAGGTACCAAAAGTCCTACATTACTTAAACTATCTGCTCCCAATTATTTTTTGATGAAATTTGGCATGTGCAAAGAAAATGCATGTAAAAAATTGCCTAAATAACAAAAAAAGCGGACACGACATTCCTTTGACAACAAATTAATGTGAGAACATCAACAAAATTTTCTTGAAAGTTTTCAGCAAAACTAACAATAAAAAAGTTTAGTGATTATACATAAAAGTACTATAAAAATCAAGCCTAACCTTTCTTCTTTCCAAAAATAATTTTTATTTATATATGTTTCTAAAAATAAACACCACAAAAAACGTTTGTCTAACCCTACCTAAAAAAAGCAGTATATTTAATAAAGCACCTTGAAACATATCTGCTCCCGATTATTTTTCGTTGAAATTTGGCACATAAATAGAAAATGCATGTAAAAAATTGCCTGAATAACGAAAAAAGCGGACACGACATGCCTTCGACTGCAAATTCATGTAAAAACATCAACCAAATACTCAGGAGCAAAATAATCTGTTAAAAAGTCTTGTAACCATACATAAAAGTTTTGAAAAAGTAAAGATTAGCTTCTCTTTTTTCCAAAAAGTATCTATGTGTATATATGTTTCTAAAAAGAAACTCCACAAAATTACGTTTACCCCACGCTGCCTAAAAAGAAGTGAAAAAAACGAGTCACAAAATTTTAGCACAAATATCGGTTCCGTAACTCACGATATGCGCGTACCTAAATAGAACAACTTTTTCCAGATGAAAGCGGTGGTCAGGTTACTATACTAAATATATATATATATATATATATATATATATATATATATATATATATATATATATATATATATATATATTATATATATATATATATATATATATATATATATATATATATATATATATATATATATATATATATATATATATATATATATATATATGTATATATATATGTATATATATATATAGATATATATAATTAATTACTTAAGAATCGTGTTAATATTTATACAGAAATTGATATTGAAAGAAATAGTTTAAAACTGAGTATATGATATACTATATATATTTAGTATATACCTGGTTCTTGATATAGTATATCAAGTATAATACTTGATATACCATATCAAGAACTATCTTCTGATTATTTGAAAGTTTTAGACATCGCAGAATTTCATGCAGAATATTTTTTTCAAAAGGAAAACCTGTTAACGATACAGAGTTTATCCTGATAATTTTCTAGAATTCAATATCTTTAATTGACAACTTTCAGATTGTGCTATTAAAAATAATCGGACCAGTATATTAGTTAATAAATTTCTTGAAATATTAAAAATCCAAGATTTGAAACTTCGCGAAGATGCAAGAAAAATTTTTGAAAACACCTAGAGGTATAACTAGTTATACCTAGAGGTGTTTTTAAAACTTTCACTGCATTTTCGAGATTAACAGTTATTCACTGTTCCTAAAAAGTGTGGTAATAATGGTTTACCATTATTTAAATTCTCTACTAAGCAGCTATGGCCAATAATAACTTGCTTTGATTATTTTAATATTTTTACAGGTGGCATTTATTGTAGTAAAACCAAGCCTAATTCACTAACTAAATACCTATTTTTTTCTTTGAGTCAAGTCAATAATGCAAAATGGTTTTCTATACAATAAAAAATATAAATTAAAACTATATAAAACCTTATAATGGTTACAACTTTTTTGAAAAGTGTTCTGTTCATGAAACTTATGGAGGAATAATTGTGTTTAATAAATAAATTTTTTACACACCTACCTCTTAAATAAATCAACTGTTACGACTTGTTTAGTTTTTTAAATTAAACTCATTTGAATCTTTTCCACAAAAAAAAAAATCACACAAAAGACTAAAGGCATTAGTTGTACCAGACATTCCAAAATCTGTTTTAAATAATCCTTTAAAGATAGATAAAATTAATTTCGCTATTTTATTTTTGGTTCTTTAAAAATTCAAAATAAATAATTATAATTAAAATCAATATTTATATTTATTATTTGATATAATTTATTTTTTAGCAATTTATCCAACTTCAAATTAGAATTAGAAAAAATTTAAAGATGGAAAAGAGATGATATTTTTTTCTATATGAATGAATTTTTGATTATTTATGGTTTTTAGTTTTAACATTTAGTAAAATATATATAAAACACAGCAAACATTTAAAGAGGAATTTCAGTGGGGCTATATAGGCTTTGTAGGTGGTTGCAGTTATAGTCATCATATACTTAATGGACCATTAGTGGCAGCAGCCAAAAGGGGATAACAGGAGTAACCACTATATCACTTGTTGAAAGGTTATTGGCTTGCCACTTTAGTAATTTACTAAGTAAAGGATGAGTTAAACTCCATTTAACTGCTCAGAATGCCTTTATAGGTCCACTGAAAATCCACTACAACAATGTTTACTGATAAAGTTTCAATATGTAGTTATTTGATTATTGTCGTATATATTCAGGGTTCCCAATCCTCCTTAAAAACCTTAAATATCCTTGGGAAAAAAAAAGACATCCTTAAAAGTCTTTAAATAATCTTTAAAAAAGTTAAAATTTGACTGCTCTCCTTAACTTACTTATCTATAAATTTTTGTTTTATTAATTAAAAATTTATTTATAAACAAATATAATATATATGTATTGGTCACAAAAACTTCTATTATGTATGTAACTCTTGATTTTTGGAGTTTTATACAATATTTCAAAGGAGTTGTCAAGTATATAGTTTATATAAGTATATATATATATATATATATATATATATATATATATATATATATATATATATATATATATATATACATATATATATATATATATATATATATATATATATATATATATATATATATATATATATATATTTTATATATATATACATATATATATATATATATATATATATATATATATATATATATATATATATATATATATATAGTATATATAAGTATGGTATAGTATAAATAGTTTATTTTATGTAATATGCTTAATGAATTTTTATAAGTAACAACTTCTTTAATTCATTCAGATCCTTCGAATTGGATAGTCTGTGATTCAAAATTATGCTTCGATAAAGTCAATGATAAATCTTTAAGTTTTACAAAGAATAATGTAAGTATTATTTTTTCTTGTAATAATTATTTTAAAAGTTATTTTAATTATATAGGTTTTTTTTCTTTATAAACTTATCAGTTCAGCAAGAAAAAAAGATCATTTAAGATTTCCCTTTCGAAGAACAAGGTTAATAAAATTTTAAGTTTTTTTTTTCTCATCTAACCTTTTATATATATATATATATATATATATATATATATATATATATATATATATATATATATATATATATATATATATATATATATATATATATATATATATATATATATATATATATATATATATATTACGTCATAAAGTGTATTACAAATGTTCTCTTTATTTCTTTCTCCTTTCTTTTTACATACTTATCTTTACAATTTTTTTTAGGTTTAAGACTGTTTACCTGATTCCTACAGCAAAAAAGAATTTTAAAATGCTGTTGGCAATAATCTAAAGCCCACACCTGATCTAAAAGAAGGTGAATGACGTCAAGTGCTCGAACAGTCGACTCTTGGAAATTAACAAGTGGATGAAGAAGTTAAAAAAAAATTATAATTGATAAAATATAGCAAACATATATTATTTAAAAGTTTACGCAAATTTTTATTTTTTATTTTCTTTTTTCTCAAAAAGTTAAGTGAAAACATAAGTTTTAATCTTACGTTTGAGTAAAGCCATGTAAAGACAAGGATTATAGACATCGAACTGGGACGGCTAAATTAGGTTATTTAAAAACACCATTTGGCGTGTCCATTTAGCACTAGTTCTGAACGTCCTAAATTCAAATCTTTTAGACGTTCAAAAAACACGTCTTTATTCCGTCCTAAAAAGACGTCCTAATTACGTCCTAAAAAGACGTCATCTGGCGTTGCCAATTAGAACTAGTTCTAAACGTCCTAAAAAGACGTCATTTCGACGTCACATGGACGTTGCCGTGCCCACTGGGTTAGAACCCTAAAAAGTTTTATAATATATTGTTTTTAACAAAGTATATTTAATTTATGTTTAACAAAATTGCAATATTTGTATGTGATTTGAATTTCTTAATTTTTATAGAAAACAATATAATATATTAGTATTTTATTTATTATATTTTAGTATTTTATTTATTAACTGAAAGACTTCTTTAAACAGTGTTATGCATATCATTTTTATCATAAAATAAAACAAAAATTATTCATCAACCTACATCAGCGTACATCTCAAAAGAAGGTGATAAAAAAAATAAAATAAAATATGTGCTGGAATTAAAATACTCAGTGATCAATTCTTCAATATTCATATATAGCACACGTATTAAACAATTTAAAATTTTGAAAACATCGAAGGTCCTTAAATACAAAATGAGTTGTATCATTACAACTCTTTGAAGTTAATTAACAAATGGAAAAAATATAATTTTGCCGTTGTCTCAACAAGAAAATGAAAATTCACTGCGGATTTAAATTTCTGACAAATCGCTACTGATTTAGCAATAACTCGTATCTGACATTTTTTTCAAAATTGACGTTTTGGTATCATTGGATTCGTATTTTCAAGGAGAATATAATTTAATTGAGGTTAGTTTAACATATAATCATTTAATTCCCGTTAAAACTTGTTTGAGTGATATCTCGTATCAAATATTTGATTTTAAAACCACGTAACTGCAAGACAGATATGTTACTAAAATAGCAATACAATACTGCCATTATAGGCATTAGTGCTTTTTTAAACATTAGTCTGTGGACTGCATTTTAAGTTAATAGGTATTATATATTTTGTATGTTTTATATTCGATATTATAGATTTAATAATAAATTAGTGTACACTGCATGACACTGACATTTTATTTATAGTCGTTTTATGTATAATGCACCTAGATCAATATGACGTCGAAAAAACGAGCACATGCAATGGTCAATTTGGTTAAAATCCTTGTCAACATGCACAATATAATAAACTGTTTGAAGATAATTCCCCTGTGAAAAGTGATGAGTTTATGGCATCTTTTATTAAAGATAATGACATCAAAAATACTACAGCTAAAGGTAAGAATATTATTTTATTACCCACCTTTATAAAGTTTATACATTTTAGCATATTATATAGTTTAATTGAAGACAGAATAATAATAATTTCTTTTTTTAGTTTCCTGTTTTAATATAGACATTGAAAGAGTTGAAAAGTTTGACATTTTACAAAATGATACAGCTAAAAGTAAAAATATTATTGTATTACATACTCTGATATTATTTCTAAATTTTAGCATTATATAGAAATTAATTGAGGGCATTATATTTTTATTTTTAGTTTCTTGTTTGGATATAGACATTGATGCTATTGAAATGTTTGAAATTGTACAAACTGGTACAACTTGCAATAATGATGGTGATTGTAACACAATTAATATTTTAGAAACTTCAACAGCTGAGCTAACTGAAGGTAATGTCTAACAAACAAAATTAAAATAACCATGACTTTTGTATATTGTGTAGATAATGATTTGTTTTGATTGTTAGTTTCTTACACAGATTTGAATGTAGATGATATTGAAGTAAATAGTGATATTACAAATGACCCAAGTAATAAGAAAAGTTTAAAGAAACGTTCTACTGCAATGGAGAATAAAATGTTTGGCCAAAATTATATTGGGTTTCGTAGATTGGGAAAAAATGTATTTCAAGATACTAATAGAGATTGTAGTAAAATCAAGCCTCGCTGTAATTTTACTGTTTGTATTAAATCAAAGGAATGCAATAAACTAACTGAGGAAGACAGATTGAATTTTTTTAATTGCTTTTGGGCAACAACTTGGGACGAAAAAAAGACTTACATTATAAATTTAGTAACACAAGAAGAAACCAGGAGAAAGACTACAGGAAAATATGAAGTAAAAAGTAGACGATCGTCATCATGCCAGTATCATTTAAGAGATATTAATGAAACGAAAACTCGTGTATGTAAAAAAATGTCTTTGGCAACATTAGATTTAAACGAATGGATGGTTCACAACTGGGTAAAAAAATCTAATAACCTATCACCTAAAGTATATAAAAAAAATGTCAAAAATAAAGATCTTGAAACTAATGAACAAATTAACAAAATTGCATTTACAGTAAGGTATGATCATTTTATTAAGTGGTTTGATAAACTTCCAAAAATGGAAAGCCACTATTGTAGAAAAAGAACTAAACGGCTTTACTTAGAAGGACCATTTGAATCAAAGCAACATTTATACAGCTTGTATGTCCAAGAAGCAAAACATGTAAAATATACACCAGTAAGTAGAGCATGCTTTAACAAATTTATAAAATCAAAAAAATTTTCCATCTTTAAACCCAGGAAAGATCAATGTGATCTGTGCTGTTCATATAAAACAAATCAAGTAACAGAAAATGAGTATCAGGAACACATATTAATTAAAGATCTAGCCAGAGAACAATTAAAAAGTGATACTGAAAAAGCAAATAACCAAGAAAACTAAACTTTCACTATGGACGTTTAGGCAGTTAAATTGTGTCCAGCCATGAATGCTAGTGCATTATATTACTCAATGAAGCTCAAAGTTCACAACTTCACAATATATAATGTAAACAACGAACACCAATGTCACAACTATTGGTGGAATGAATGTGAGGGAGAGTTAGATGCATCAGTTTTTGTGAGTATTCTGTTATCTCATCTTGAAACCTATTGTATTAATATTGACCAAGAAAAAAAAATATTATTCTGTTTTCTGATGGATGTGGCTTTCAAAATCGCAATTCTATTTTATCAAACGCACTTTTAAATTTTTCTGTCCAATAATGTAGTTATTGAACAAAAATTCCTAGTTAAAGGTCACACCCAAATGCCCTGTGATAGTGTACATAGTGCTATAGAGCGCAAGTTAAAAAACAAGGACATTCATCTTCCTTCAGATTATGTAAGAATAACTAAAGAAGCTAGAACCACTTCTTGTCCATACCAAGCAACATTACTTGATCATACATTTTTCAATGGCTATAAAATAAACCAAACATATAAATCAATCAGACCAGGAAAAGAAAAGGGTGATCCTGAAGTTAGAGACATCAGAGCTCTTAAATATGACCCTGAAACTCAAATGATCTATTATAAACTTAATTTTAATGATTCATGTTATTTACCATTAACATTACCAAGAAACAAACATTTTGAGCTTATAGAACATTATCCTAAGCTGTATGCAAAACAAATTCCATTGACTCTATCCAAGTGGACAGATTTACAGAAGCTTAAGCATGTCTTGCCTGTTGACACCCATGCTTTTTATGACAGTCTACCACATGCAGACACATTAAAACAAAGAAAAAACAAAGGAATATAACATTGTTACCTATTGTTAACTATTTGTATGGATACTATAATTTGTGATTTTAATGAAAACAATGAGACTGGTTTTTTTTTAAATATGTAATACGAAAAAACATTTTATACTATTTTAAAAAGTTATTAATTATAATTTTATTTTGTTATGATTTAAAGAAGTTGAAAAATTAGTTATTTTAAAAAGTTATTATTATTTTATTTTGTTGAAATCTTATAAGTTGTCATTTTTATTTTGTTATTTTTTTAATGTTATTCTACACCCAAATAAACTTAATAAAAGATTGTGATTAAGAAAAAATACAATACCTAGTATAATTTAATATCTAAAAAATTATTTTGTAGAGTTACAATGCCACGTAAGTTAACAAATAAATATTTTTTAAAACACATATCTTCAAGTAACAATACCACGTATATAACTTTTGAAATGTAATAACCCGTAACTACAATAAAAAAATGAATAACCACAAAAATTAATAAAATTTGTTGTATAATAGAATAGCATCTGAAAGTAAAACTATATGAATTAAAAATATTATCTAATAATGTCTTAAACAGAAATAAATTAGTTTTTAGTTGCTCCTGAAAAATGTATTGATTGTCAGTTACGTGTTGTTGCCAAATCAGTAGCGATATATATATACATATATATACACAGGATTGCCACTATAATTTTAAAAGATTATCCCTGAGTTTTCTCTGAGTAAAGTACATTTTCCCCTGATTTTAGTTTTTAAAGTTCCCTGAGTTTTCCAGATTCAATATATAAAGTTCCTTATGTTCCTTATGGGTATATATAGTTGATGAAAATAGAAGATATCTAAACTAGTGGTTTTTTTATTAAAGCTAAGAAATTTTTCTATATTTATTTTCATTTCATTTCTTAAAAATATTGAATTCTGAAGCATGACATTATCACTATGTGTTTCAGATATAGTTTTTAAATTGGCAAGATAAAGTCAACAATCTTTTTAGTTTGTTTTGATTAGATTCAATGAAAAATGTTTTGAGATTGATTGTTTCCAAACAACTTGCGTTCGCTATGATTGCATAGACTAGCAGGATGTGTTTAAGTAAACTTTACATGGTTTTTGTGAGAAATAAAACACATTCATTTCTAAATTGATTTATCTCATTAAGAGTTATATTATCTTTAACATAGAGTTCTTTAATTCAAACTTCAGCCGCAAAACCAATAATAATAACTTCTTTCCTGGGTAGCAAATTTTCTTTTTTATATAGATCTATCTTTTTAAAGTCACTACCTTTTTTGCAGCTTTTAATTACTAAAGGTTTAATAAATAGAGCTAAAATATTTGTTATCAATTCTCTAAGATCAGTGTACATGTATGGAATTATTGGTTGATCAGTCTGATAGAGTGTCAAGTAGGTTTTAAGCAAACTGGTAACATAACTAAAAAATTGTAACTCTGAAACTGTCCGGAAGTCATTTGATGCTTTTTGAACATTAAAAAAACTTTTTGAGGAAGACTGTTTAGACTGATAATTTTTCCTAAAATCTAATTAATTTTACAAGGTTGTCCCTCTATCTAGCTCTTTTATTGTTACATCTAGCTCTTTTATTGTTGTCAGTCTTAACAAGCCATTCTTTATACTCTTGGTGATTAAGCTAATCAATTGAAAAAATTGTTTGATCCATTTTAATTAATAACAACTCTAAAAAAATACTCTTCTTTCAACCATATTGCATATACTTATAGATTTAATAATGAAAGATAATAAATTTTTATGAAATATTTTTATATAAATTATTAAATCAAACTTTACTCAGTATTTTAGTATTTCCTAATTAGGCTCAAAATGAAAACTCTACTTAAAATAGTTAAATAACTTACTATAAAATATAAGTATAACCTTATATATATATATATATATATATATATATATATATATATATATATATATATATATATATATATATATATATATATAATATATAATGCTAGATTTATAAAAAAAAAAAACAATTGCTTTTACTCAGCATTTTATGGTTTTTGCTCAGCTTTACGTGAATAAATTTTCAGCCATTTTTCTCAAAATTTTAATTATGTAAAGTTGAGCAATTACTCAGCGTTTTTGGAGTAAATTCTTCAGCTTGTGTGAATATAAGTTTAAGCAAAATCGGCTAAAACCATTTTCATGTAAAACTGAGCAATAACTCTCAAAATGCTGAGTGGAAGCAATTGTTTTTTTTCACCAGGCCTAAAATCAGCTCTGCTTTATATATTATCAGCTAAAGGAATTTTAAACAAAAAATTATAAAGTATTTTGTTGTTTGAAAAACACTGAAAACACAAAGTACATCTAAAGTTGTATTTTAAATACATATACAAAACACTTGACTGATAAAATAATTAAAGTAAAAAATACGTCAAAAGTATTTAAAATAGGTATTTAAAATATTAGTAATTTAAATACTTTACAACACTGTTGCTTGATCAGTTCTCTTCATTAATACATTAAATAGCTTCAGCAAACAGGGAAAACTTTGAAGTTTGAATAAGAAATGTTACATATATTAGGAATAGTACGAAAAAATACCAAGTACTTGACAAAAAGGACCATCAGTAGAAGCAGGCATTTAAATTTAAGGCTTTAAGCAATCTGGATCAAGAGAAAAAGAGACAATTTTTATACTGAGGACAAGATATACATATTTTAAACAATATTAAAATTGAAGTTCCTAAACAACAGCAATAAAAATAGCAATTAAAAATTACTACAACCTTATTGTTGTTGGATTGAATAAATGGAAACATATTAACAAAAACGTTAAAATTGAATAAAATCTATAAGACAAAACAAGTTAAATAACATGTTTGAAAAAAATAAACTAACTTTAGAATGTTTAAAACATGCAAACATGAAATGAAAATTTAATTTGGATAACTTATTAATATTTTTTTTAAAACCTACTGTTTAACCCTTTACTTCGCGGTGTTGTTGCACAACAACAGTAGAAACTTTTTTAAAATAAACCAAATTAAGATAACATTGAATTTGCAGACTGTACAGAATCAACAATGACATATAAGTCTTTAAATTTAAATTATTTTCCTGCTCTGAAGGACTATTTTTTGCATGTAATAATGTTATGCAAGATGAAAAACTGTAGCAGTGACGCCGTTTGTATAATTCTGAAATTCTGTGTTTGTATTTACGTATATATTTTTGTCTAGAAAGTATAAGAAAAATAAAATAATATAAATTATTTATTATTATTTTAATTTCACACTTAATTTATTTTAAATAACAATTTTCATGAGTAAAAATGATTAAAGTTACTTTGTTGTTGTACAACAACATTGCGTAGATTATCTACGCAATGTTGTTAAATATATATATATATATATATATATATATATATATATATATATATATATATATATATATATATATATAAATAAATTAAAATAAATATATATATATATATAAATTAAAAAAATATATATATATATATATATATATAAATATATATATATATATATATATATATATATATATATATATATATATATTTATATATATTTATATATATAAATATATATTCACATAGAATTTATATTTTTATAGTATAAATATCAAATTTTATGATTTTAGATGACTTGTATAAGGGTCAATAATTTTTATAATAAAAAAAGATTTAAAACTGATAATGGTGAACAAGGAATTGTCAATGTTATTTATCTTCCTGACCCAGAATTAAGTGAATTTTCTGAAAGTGAATCTGAAAGTTATGACGAAAACACTGACATAGTTAAACCAGTTTATTGCGAACCAAACAATGAAGTTTATTTTGTTATTGAATCAGAAAATGAATCAACTGAATCAGAAAGTGAATCTAGGAATGAATCAACAAGTGAAACAGAAGCTTTTGATAATGAGAGTATTCATAGTCATAAAAGTAAATCTAAAGGAAACCAAAAAATAGTACAAAAGAATGTCATAACCAAACAAAATGTAGGAAGAGGCAGTAAAAATGATTATCGTTGGCGCAAACAATCACCTCACAATGTTGATTCTAGAGAATTCGAGAAGACTCCACATTTGGAATGGTCGCCAAGGCAATACTTCAATGAATTTTTTAATGCAGCACTATTCAAAGTCATTGCTGATCAGACAAACTTATATTCTGTGCAAATAACTGGAAAATCTATTAATACTAATTGTGATGAAATTGAACAGTTTATTGGGATACTAATTACTATGGGCGTGCTAAAATATCCACAATATAGAATGTATTGGTCTCAACACACTAAATGTGCATCAATTGCAGAAGTTATGGCTTTAAAACGATTTGAGTTATTAAAAAAATATTTTCATGTAAATGATAACACACACATGCCAAAAAAAGGCACAGCAGAATATGATCATTTGTACAAAGTTAGACCAATTGTGCAATCTGTTCTTGATATGTGCAGGTTAGTAGAACAAGAAGAATGTCAGTCTATTGATGAGCAAATTATTCCCACAAAATCAAGATGTCCGATCAGACAATATCTTCCAAAGAAGCCACACAAATGGGGCATAAAAGCCTGGGCACGATGTGGAGTCAGCGGATTGCTTTATGATTTTACTATCTATCTTGGCAAGGAAGAAAATACTGATATTTCTAAAGAATATGGTAAAGTTGGAGCAGCAGTGCCTTAAACTCGTTACACATTTGCCAAAAAATATTGGACATAAAATCTTCATGGATAATCTTTTAACAAGCATAAAATTGTTTACCACTCTTAAGGATCTTGGAATATGGGCTGTTGGAACCATTCGTAATAACCGCTTGCATGGTGCTGAAAAAGTAATGTTTAAAAAAAAAGAACTAGAAAAAATGGGACGTGGCTCATTAGATTACCGGGTCGATTTTAATTCTAACATAACAGTTATACGTTGGATGGATAATGGAGTGGTACAACTAGCATCTACATTTATTGGTCCATCCTTAGGAGATTCAATTAATCGCTGGTCTAGCAAAGACAAAGTTGTTGTAAAAGTGTCTTGCCCAGATATGATACATCAGTATAATAAGCATATGGGTGGGGTTGACTTATGTGATATGTTGATGGCATTGTATAGAATTAAGCTAGGTACAAAAAAATGGTATATGCATATAATTTATTATTGTATCAATGTAGCAATAGTGAATGGTTGGATTTTATATAAAAGGCATTGTAAACAAAATGGATATACTAGGAAAAACATAATTCAACTATTAGAGTTCCAAACACGCATCGCAGACTCTTTATTAAGAGAAAAAAAAGTTTCTCGAGGCAGACCAAGAAGTGATACACCTGTTGTAAAAAAAAAACGCTGCGCAGTAAATGCTCCAGCTAAGGTAATCTGCTTAGACAATGTTGGTCACTTGCCTAACTTTTCTGAAAGACAGCAACGATGCAAACATTGCAAGTCTGGGTATAGTCGTATTTTTTGTGAAAAATGTAAAGTCCACTTGTGTTTGGTTACCTCTCGCAATTGTTTTTATAGTTTCCACAGCTAGAGCTTTTAACATTTGAATGGGAATTCAAATATCTTTCAATATACATTAATATTTACATTAATGTCTATTTGTTTTTAACATGATTTTATTCCAAAAATTACTTTAAAATTTGTGTTGTTTTTATACCCAATTTTCGCAATGTTGTTGTACAACAACATGTCCATATCTTTTAAATAAATCATAAAAGTACAAATATTTTTTTTGGACATGAAATAGTATACTATAGAAGTAAAAAAAAAAACATTTAATAATTTTTTTTATTTTTGGTTTGATTTGGTGAAGTAAAAGGTTAATATATTGTGAACGCTGTTATTGTAAATATTTTGAGTCTACACTAAAAAGAAAAATTAAATCTAACATTTTCAGTAAAATGACCAGTATAAGAACTTTTTGAAGGAAAGCAAACTGAAAACATTTGTTTCCTTACTATTTTATTTTTTAACAAAGCATCTCGAATACAGTTTAAGGATTGCACTTTTCTTAATTTAGTATCCACACTTATCTAAAACAAAGTATATTTTAAAATAAATTAGCATAAATTAATTGGTTATATTTTATGTTGATGCATGTATGTCTTGAATAAATAATATAGGACTGACTTAAATCTCATTTAAATAGTATAAATTAAACAAACAAAAACACCTTAAGGCATGGGAATCAATCGTTAATAATAAAAAAAAATAAAAACGTTAACAAAAAATAAATCAAAACGTTACAAATGGAACAGACTATAAAAAAATGAAAAAAAGGAATGGAAGAGACTGCCTTCAAATAGAACGATAAAATGAACAAGTATTCAATGACCGACAAAATCTATATAGAAATGGATCAATTGGATTTACGATAACAATCTAACGAACCTTTTTACACTTAACCTTCTTATACCATAGACGGTTATTTGCACTGTTTAAAAATTTACGGCTACTATGATAAAGATGATGTCATGGCTATTTATTTTCAACTGATGCAGTCAAAAATGAATTATTCTTTAAAATGGCAGTTTATGGAAAGAGTAAAATGTACAATTAGAAACAACAGAAAAAACTGATAGCCAAGTATAGTGAACCAAATAAAAACTGGTTTGAAAAACCTGCACACGCATGCAACATAGCTGTTGAAACAGATTATTTTGCTACACATAAAGAACTTAAAAAAAATTATATAAAAAACAATAAACTTGTTATACACGTTCCTTTTGAATAATTGTTATTTGTATTTTTTTATTTGTATTTAATATAACTTGTACTTTTTTTAGACTCATAAAAAGAGCATTGTATACAATAATATGATACAGAATATGATACAGTAGAATCTAAAATGAAACTTACATTGGATCTTTTAAATTTAATCGGAAGAAAAGACATACATTAAAAGTTTAGTAAAAAAACTGTAAAATATTCTTCGTACGAAGAAAGCGCATCGCATAATCAACCACCACCATACGAAAAAAACGTTGAAAATCAAATGTATTATCCGTCCGAAGTCATTACTTCTGAAACAACAAGAACTTTTAAATTTTTATAATAAAAAATATATATTTTTTCTTTAAGTTTGTATATATATTTTTTAAATGACAAATAAAAATTTAATTAGACATGCTTGAATACATTATGAATATATGCGATATAATGCTTTGAAGGATATGCTGCTGCCTTGTAGGTCAGGCCTTTTTTAGGCAAAGTCTAGGAGATGCCAACTCCGACATAAAACACCCCCTGCCTTGGGGCTCTTGGTTGAGTAAAGGCAAGAGATAGCGTATCGATAAAAATACCCATCTTGGGCAGATGTTAAATGCATCCAGCTGCTGTCTTGAAGAAAGTCTCCTAGGCAAACACTTAATGGATAAACAGATTCTATCTGTTGACCAGCCTCACACCCCTTCTTCGTCTATTAGGCTGGCGTAGATGTGTTCTTAATACATCTAAATCTCGATTGTTACTCAGATATAAAAACGTTTTGTAAATGTTTATTTTAAAAATTGTTTTTCTGCTACTAAACAACACAAATTAGTTATGAAATCTTTTTTAAATATTTATATGGAATGTATATATTGGTTAATTAAACAATATGATTATGTTACGAATTTTTATTTTAAACCTAATAGAAATGATATAAATGATTTTATTTAACGATTTTTTTTCAGAAATAATTATAATCCAATTAATCACTGTTGACGATGAAGAACATTTATCATTTAACAGAAATAAAAGCTATATTTTATCAATGTTTTTAAATGGAAAATCAGACTGGGCTACATTTAATTTAAATCAACGTATTGTCGGTGAAGAAATATTGAAACAATGGACAATTTAAAAAACATTGAGAAAAAAAAAAGAAATTGAAAATAACTTTTATGATTTTCTATTTAAATTATTAACACGAAAAAAAATTAAAGACAAATTTTTTTATAACTTCATATTTTTATTATAATAAATTTTTTTTTTTGATATAAAAAAAATGAAACTTGTAAAAAATAATCAAACAAGAAATGTCAGTTATAAGCCTCAAGAGCAAGAATTCTTATAAAAATAGCAGAAGAGCTATACGGAACCGATTGTTGTAAAGTAATGGCAGGATTTCATCGTATTGGTGTTTTGTAGACGAGCAAATACAAAGACGTACAAATAACTATACAAATCAAGAACTATTTGAACAAATTAATAACAGTTTTGAAAACTTTGTAAAAAGTTTATTTTAAAACAAACTAAAATTTAATATATTTAACTTTAATATATTTTTTCATTCAATATATTGTTTCTTTTTTTATAATATGATAACAATCCAATACATCTTTTTAAAAATAATCATTTAACTAATCCTTCACAATAATAACACAATTGTTCTAATATGATTTTTAAACTGTTTACATTCTTTATTTTTTTATACAATTTATCCACACACGTAAAATAATAATAAAATGTTTGTAACACAAGACGACAATGTTCAATGATTTTTCTATATTTATGAAAACTCGTGTCGGAATAAAATACGCGAAACGGAAGACATTCAAATAGCATATCAAGAACTTTTGTCAACTCTATTTGATGTCTTTATTATTTTCATGTCTTTAATATAAAGACCGTAAACTCTTTCACAACTATCCAATTTGCTTTCTTCGGCTAAGAGAACTTTATTCATTTCAATAGCTCGATTTAAATTAGTTTCCTGTAAATGTTTTTTTTTTAATCTAAATTGAGCTGATATAAATTCAATAAAGAAGCGTCCCTCGCATAAAAAGTCATTTTTATAAGTTTTTTTTATTCAATTTTAAATTATATACAATAAAAATTTTTTTCTAAATATTTACAATCAACTAAACCTATTCATTTATTCACCTAAACAACTACAACATATTTCACAGCGTGTAAACAATTGTATATAAGTACAGACATAACAAACAGCAATGATCATGTACATGGTTTACATTGTTTAACAAACTAGAAAAAATATAATTATTTAAAAAAAAGATTTAAAAAAGTTAAAAAATTTTTTTTAAATAAAAATATACTTACAGATACAGGTTTTACAAAATAACTTTCTTTTAACTTTCTTTCGTTTACTTTCTGCAATCGTTTTAAAAACTTTTAGCATTTTTTTTTCAATAAAGTTTGTTTTGTAATTTACAATAAAAAAAGTTTCTTATATATCTTTTTGTAACGGTTCATTAACTTTTTATAATAAAAAAAAAATTGGATTAAAAATACCATCATTTTTTTAAAAAAAAGAGGATTAAGAGGATTAAGGTAGGGAAGGAGGGAATGATTACTTGAATTTGAATAAGGGACATATCATCAGTTATTGTTGACCCATTCCTGTAAAAGCTGCAGGACACACGATACCGTCGACGACAAGTACGACAGCCTTCGTAGGACAAATCTAACGTTTGAATAAACAAAATATGTAAGGAATATATACCGTATAATTTTTAAAATCACACTCAAAATAATAACAATACCATTTGTGGTTCGTGAAAATAAAGTTACTGTATCTGAAAAGTAAAGGCAAATACTTCAGTTTAATAATAGGATAGTTTATGTAGTATAAATATCGAGAATCAAGTAGAACTTAAAAACCTTTATATTCTTCTAATTGCCCCACACGTCGCACTCAAGAGGTAAATGAAATGAAAAATGATTTAATTTTTTTAAATTGCAGTAAACATGTTACATGAGAAATCACTTTAGGTTTCTACATTAAATAAATGGTAACATTGAAAACGTACAGGTATCTTTTTGCAGTTCCACTAAAACAACAAAAAGAAAACTTTCATTATAACATAAGCAAAACTTTTATTTTACAAAAAAAGAACTAATGACTTAACTAGTGTTTAAAACACATCAAAATATGTATGTATTTAGTTGCCTACAGGGGGGTGTGGAGTCGTAAAAAAAAAAGTAACGACTCCGACTTCAAGAGTTGAAATATTTTGAGGACAACTCCGACTGGTCGTTGAAATTTTTTGAGCGCAACTACGACTCCAACTCCAAAGCAAAATTTTTAAAAAATTTTTAAGTTCTCTAAAAATATAACAGGATAGGTTAAAAATTTTTTTTTGATAAACTTATGAAACCTTTTCTTGAGGTTTAGTATGAACATAAGGTTAATTGAATGCTTTGTACATGCACGTGCAATAAGCCACTGCCAATTCGTTTTTATGAAAACAGGCTCTGTGTATTTTTACATAATTTCCTAATATTTATAAATAAAATAAACTTGTACATTCTGACAGTTTGAAAAAGCTTTTTTTTTTAACTAAAATTAATTTTTATTGTTTGTACAGAGCTTTGATTGTTCTTGGTCGAATTGCCCTATATGGGAAAAACAAGCCCTAAGACTTTTACGTCTAGCCCTACGATCTCTACGTCAAGTCCTAAGATTTTTTTGATATTTATAAATGTAAATGAATTTGTTTACTCGGAGAGTTTAAAAAAACTCTATATATTTATCTAAACCTAATTTTAACGGTTTTAACAAAGCTTTTATAACTTTTGACCCAATTGCTCCAAATGGGGCAAACGACCAGTGAAGTCCTTACCTAGGGGCCCTAATATGAGAGTGATAATTTGTAGAAATGAATGCTTTGATTCTTTAGTAAAAAAGAAAACAATAAAAATAATTCAGCATAAGTACTTTAATGAAACTCCTTCTCATTGATAGCATTTGAAAAATATATTTATGAAAATTTGGTGTCATAAATCCTTAAGGAAAATAAATTTTATTGAGTCCAACATAAATTTTTTCTTTCATTAAATTTTCAAATAAACTTGGGAACTAGTTATCCAAATTTAAAAAACTAACTGAAAACGTCTGAAAACGTCTTTATTATTCGCATACTTTGGTATTAATTATAACAAGAGATAACGAAAATAGTAAAATCGTGTGAAGTGCCTACAATATATATTTTCGGGAAATGACTGAAAATCGCCGGCAATTATACATTCTCCTTTAAATGAAATTGACGCAAAATTTAAATTTAAGTTTTTTGCTTGTAGACCTTGTTCTAATATAGTTTTTAAATTATAAATCATAAATATTGTTTTAAAAAAATTACTTTTGTCTTTATACACTATTTAGTAGTTAGTTAAATATTATTTGACAATTTTAAAGAACAATTTATTGTTTGATAAGTACGACATGTTTGAAAAAGATTATCTGAACAACTTTAGTATTTCCTAAAATCTAAAATTAAATTTGTAATATAGTGTTATTATAGGATGTAACAATATGAAAATTGTTAAAAGTCATAACAAAATAAACTTTTAAACGGTGTAATGTAAAAAAATATGTGATGTAAGTTAAATTGTTTCTGATATATTAGTTTTACTATATTGATAGTTCTTAAAACCAAAAACTAGATCTTATCCCAAATAAACGTGAGTTAGGAGTGGATAAATTAAAAGTAAGGAAAAATTTACTTAATGAAATAAATAATACTAAAGAAATTCGCAAAGAAAACTTTAATAAAGTAAAGGTTGCTTTAGTTATATTCATTTCAAAGGTGAAGAAAAAACTAAAATAATGTGAATAAAATAATGACATTTATACAAAAAGTATAATATTCCTTGGCTTCAAAGAAATCTTATGAAAAATAGATTGAGCCATTTTGGTTCTGGATGGCCCCATAATCAATGGAGTGTTTTTGGATAACAATCAAAAGAAAAGAAAAAAAACTAGCCACTGAACATCATGAAGCTCTATTTTTAGCTTTAGCTAAGGTGCAAATGCTGGAGAATAAAAGAAAGCCTCTATTTAAAAAATAACATGTCTAATGTTTTAGAGATGTAAAAAGTTGATAAAATCTTTCCCATTATTATGAGTGTAGAGGAAGCTTTTGCATTAAAAATGAACATTAATCTCAGCAATAAACAATATGAAATGATCAGAAACTAAGCTTGTACAAAATGTTCAAATTAATCCTACGTTGCATGAAATTTTCGTGGAAAAATTTTCTTTTTGCTCTATATGGAGCTCTATAAACATTGTTTGCATTGAAATGACAACTACTTACATCAGTTATGTCACCTACATATGAAAATTGTTTGCATATTGAAATGACAACTACTTACATCAGTTATGTCACCTACATATAAAAATTGTTTGCATATTGAAATGACAACTACTTACATCAGTTATGTCACCTTCATATAAAAATTGTTTGCATATTGAAATGACAACTACTTACATCAGTTATGTCACCTACATATAAATATTGTTTGCATATTGAAATGACAACTACTTACATCAGTTATGTCACCTACATATAATGCAGATTTAATTAATGGTAATATCTTAGATTTAATTTTAACAGAAACACCTGAACGTATAAATAAAATCCATCATAACCCAACTCTAGGCAACACTAGAAATGGACACCAAATACTTAGCTGGAAATATTTTTTAAAAAACACTACTAAAAAGGAAATGTCAAACTATGGGAAATCTGGATTTAACTATAAACTTGGTAATTACACAGTCATAAATAAAGCTATCAATGAAAATGATTGGTAAAGTCTTTTTGGAAAAAAAAGTATTAATGAGTGCTATGAAATATTCTTAAATATCTATGATAAATTATGCAACATATATATTCCTAAAAAAAAATATACTTCAATAAACAACCACAGCCCAAACCTTGGATTGATAGAGAAGCAAAAAAAGCAATAAAAAACAAAACAAATTTATGACACAAACTATTATCTAATGGTTTTAAATATGACCAGCTGAAAGTCCAATATATTTTAATCAACAAAACAATAAAAAATCTTATTAAAACAAAAAGAATAAATTATAAAAAAAAAAATAGCTGACTCATCGAAAGAAAATCCAAAATTGTTTTATGCAAATATTAATTCAAACAAAAAAATAAAATTAGGCATTAATATAATAACAGATAAAAATGGTTCTTTACAAACAAATCGTGATGATATTGCTAATATCCTCAATGAAAACTTTAACTCAGTATTTGTAATAGAAGATCCAACAAATTTTCCTAATATTGCATTAAAAACAAGCAAGACTTTAGAATTAGATATAGACTCAATAATAACTCAAGACATCGTCAGAATTAAACTAAGTGAACTAAGTGTCAATAAAGCATTAGGAGCAGATGGTGTAAGTTCATATGTGTTAAAAAAATGTCAAAATGTTTTTGCAAACCTCTAGAATTACTATTCAAAAGATCCTTACAAGAAGAACAAATTCCACTCATATGGAAAATGGCTAATGTAACACCACTACACGAGAACAGAGATAAAAATGATCCTGCAAACTATAGACCAATTTCATTAACGTCAATACCATGCAAAATTCTAGAGTCAATCTTAGGTAACAAAATAATGGATTACATGTTAACAAACAATTTATTAAATAGTAACCAACATGGTTTTCAAAAGAACAAAAGCTGTTCTACTAATCTACTAGAAACACCAGATATTTTACTTGATGCTATTGAGAATGGCTGGTGTGTTGATGTGTTGTATACAGATTTCTCAAAAGCTTTAATAAAGTACTTCATATGCGATTGATGTCAAAGTTAATATCATATGGTAAAGTTGGAGTAATTCTAAATTCGATAGAAGGCTATTTACATAATAGAATGCAACGAGCAATTTTAGGGGATTGTGTATCAAAACGGCTAACAGTTGAGAGTGGAGTTCCACAAGGTTCTGTCCTTGGGCCTCTTATGTTTCTTATTTTTATAAACGATCTGCCAGACACATTAAAAAATAATATTAAATTGTATGCAGATGATAGCAAAATTATAAATATTTTCAAATCAGATGATGATATCCGTATAAACAAATTACAACTAGATATTGATAATATTATGAAATGATCGTCACTATGGTTAATAAAGTTTAACTATGAAAAGTGTAAAATTATGCACATTGGTTTTAAAAGTCCTTGTATAACTTATTTAATGTTCGACGCTGAAACTCAACAGAATAATATATTAGCAGCATCAAAAGTAGAACGTGATTTAGGAGTAACGACGCAATCTAATTTAAAATGGATCAGTCATATTGATAAAGCTGTTTGTAAATCAAATCAAATGCTTGCTCTTATTAAACGAACTTTTAAATAT